CTGCAATTTTTATATACAGTAAATTTTTGATGATTTCCTTAATACCATGGACCAAATGTATCTATTATACCAGGCTACCATATTGCTGCTTCTTTGTAATCCTACATGAATCACTATACTTGTAAATAAATATGAATTTTTTCACATTTCTTCATTTTTGATGTCTAGTGTTAGTAATTTGTATAACATTTACAGTATATAAGACTATTGATGTGTAGGTACTGACAGGATTCATCTTGTGAATGGACAACATAAACTTACAGTGTCAATAAATACAGAATAGTACTGTAAATATATTTTCTCTTCCTAATGATTTTCTTAACATTTTCTTTAGCTTACTTTATTGTAATAATACAGTATATAATACATATAACATAAAAAATATATGTTTATCGGCTTTATGTTATCAGTAAGGCTTCCAATCAAAGTAGACTATTAGTTAAGTTTTGGGGGAGTCAAATGTTATACCCAGATTTTCAACTGCATGAGGAGTCAGCACCCTTAATTCTTGAGTTGTTTAAAGGTCAACCGTATAATTTAGTTAAGTTTTGGGGGAATCAAAAATTATATGTGGGTTTTTTATTGTGCAAGGGTGTCAGTGCCTCTAATCTCCATGTTCAAGTATCAACTGTAAACAAGAATTAAGTTTTTGTGGAATATATCTGGACACAAAAGTATCACCAAACTTCTAAATAAAGGCCCCTAAACACTTTTAATATTATGCACTGAAATACATGTGAGCTACATTTAAGAAAGATTAATAGATACAAGTAAGAGAATTATTTTCCAACCCGCTTTTTCCAGTTCAGGTGGCTAGAACATAACGTATCTTGGCACCTGGGCACAAGGTGAGAACACACTCTGGACAGAACAACTCTCCATTACAGCACACTCATATACCACACTCACTCAGACTGGGGCAATATAAATATGACAGTTCACCTAATGTGCATTCACATCTTTGGGATGTGAGAGGAAACGAGTACCTGGAGAAAACCTGTAAGGACATGCGGGGAGAATGTGTTAACTCCACATGGCGGCTCTGACCAGGACTTGATTTTTGTTTTTCTCATCAGTGTTGAATGAAATGTTATTTGAGCATCTGCTATACCACAGTTTTGGTAATTGCAGCTTTGTAATAAGTTTTGAAATCAGGAAGTCTGAAATGGAGCTCCAACTTTATTCATGTTTTTCAAGATATTTAGCTATGTAGGGTTCCTTAAGATTTATTTGAATTTTAGCATGGATTTTTTTATCTATGGAAAAAATGCTATTGGGATTTTAATGGAAAGTGCATTGAATCTATAGATCACTTTAGGTAATATTGACATCTTAATATTAAATATTAAGTCTTCGAACAAATGATGTCTTTCCATTTATTTGTATAATTTAGTTTTTTCAGCAACGTTTTCTAGTTTTTAGTTTATAAGTCTTTCACTTGGTTTAGTTCATTCATAATTGTTTTGTTCTTTTTGATACTATTGTAAATAGAATTGTTCTTAATTTTTTTTGATCGTTATTAATGTAGAACTGTAACTGATTTTTTATATGTAGCTTTTGTGTTCTGCAACTTTGTTGAATTCATTTATTAGTAAAAACTTAATTTTCTTAACTGAGCCATTCTGCACAAATTCCTTGTTTTGTTCAAGCCCAGTTTATCAAAAATTTTAGATGAAAATAGAACTTGTATTTAGGACTTATTTAATTTTCTTAGCAAAGCCTAGTTTTTAAGTATATAGGTGCTATAATTGCAGTTGAACTATACTTGTTATTTCCATAAGGATATTTGTATTATAAATATTTTCTTTTTTGTTAATTTTTATACAGAAAAGATAGACCAGTTAGTAGTTGACTTGAATTCTATACTTTGAGAAGAGGCTTGTACAAGATTTGTCTTTCTTGTAAAAAGAAAAGGCACTATTTCAAATGGATGGTCACTTTATTTTTGTATAGCAAGACATTTGATTTTGTTACAGTTCTTATTATATGAAATTTTTAAAAATCCAAGATAGATTTTGATCCACCTGACAATAAACCTAATAGTGGTGGGGGGCGGGACTTTGGTTTTATGGTAAATTTCTAAGTATACTGAGTCTGTTTTTCAAGTATCGGTTATTCATCAAATATCTGTGAAGTACCTTTCGTAAGTGCTGAGTGTTAGAATAGATAGAATAATAAAGTATGGTTTTTGTCCTTTGTAGGATGACTTAGTGGTAGTATTTATCCATAGTATTGATAAAGCAGTCTCAACTATTATTATGATTATTTGCTGCTATATTATTTTGAATTTTATAAGAAAATGCTACAAAATATTTTAAGTAACTGAATGTATTTTTACCTATTATATAAATATGATACTGTCATTTAATATTTTGCCTCTTATGTAATCTAATTTTAATAACGCACCTGTAAATAGGGCAGATATATCTGTAACTTAATTTAGATGATATTAATAATTAGCTCTTAAGTTTTGATATAGATTTTTTGTAGGTATTAATTTTACTATAGTATAATGATCATTAATATTTTAGTTTGTTTTCTATTTGAGTAGATGTACCCTTATGCAGAAATGTTTTTAAACTGTCATATAAATGTAATTCTCATTTTCATCTGTAATATCAAATTTGTTTTAGGAGAAAATTATATTTGATAAATTTTCGATAAAAATCACTCATTTGGAAAATTTTGCACACTGGGTAAAACTATAAAAATGGCATTATTATTCATATTTTAAGATCATAGCAAATAAAATTTGTTGATGTTAAATACCTCTTTTAGTATGTGAACTTTTTCCTGAATCACCAGTCTCATTTGTTTAGTAAGCATCTCTAGAACATAATGTTCTTTCGACAGAGATTGCCTCTTGAATTTTATGTAACATAGATCATATCTTTCTTTAAGCCTGTTGTCCCAACTATCCTTAAAGTTATAAACCTGTCCTTACTGGCTTAAAATATATAGGTGTCTCTTCACACGTATGCAAAGATGTATGTACATATACGTGTGTGTGTGTGTGTGTGTGTGTGTGTGTGTGTGTGTGTGTGTGTGTGTGTGTGTGAGAGAGAGAGAGAGAGAGATTTGCATTCTCCTTTGTTTTGGCTTTGTTACCACTTGGCTTTTTCCTGCTGTTTAAAGTATCATGCATTCATTTGGGCCTATATGTATATGAGAGATTAGCATAAAATAAATTTCTTTTTCCTATATTCTTGTTAAGCATGAATATGTAGTCTTGGGAAAGGCTGGTCAAGTAGTAATTTAATTTATATAAAGAAATGTTTTTTTACTGGTTTGTTTGAGATTATGAATCAAAGCACACATATTAAAAAAGGCTACAGATTTTGATGTTTTGTAATGCACTAGAACTCTTGATTGAGGATGATAATTTGAAAATTCGATCTGACAAGAAAGAATTTATTGGTACATATAACTAAGACAAGAGTGGCAGTTACAATGATCAGCAGTTGCAGGCTCATCTAATCAGTATCCCCAGCCCAGATAGGGGCGGGGTGGAGGTGGTTCCTCTTTTTCTGATAGTTTCAACCAAAGTCAGTAGCTTCAACAAAAAGTTCTGGGATCAAATCCTTTTGGCCTAGCTTGGTTAATATGCTCTGAACCAATTGTGGCCTGAAGGATGGAATGCTTTGAGTAAGTCTGTGTCATATCTTCACTCCTAAAGTTAGTGTTGCAGATGGGGTGGGGGTTAGGATTGAGATAAACTCTATATGAACCACATGAACTAAAATGAGGGAAATGGAAGTTTCTCCAAAGGAAAATAGGACTTTTTTTTGTTATTAGAAACTAGGTAGATAAGAATATTCACTACAGTGTAAAAATATAATAAAACTGTTATTTAATCTCAGATTGGTAAAGGATTGCTATACTGTTAGCTTCCCTGTGTTGAGCGGTTCTCAAATGTTTTTACACATTAAAATTATCTGAGAAGCTTTTAAATATCTTGATGTCCTGGCAGTACCCCAGACCAATTAAATCACAATTTCTGGGCAGTAGTACTCAGGCCTCTGTATTTTTTTTAAGCTTCCGGAGTTTGATTTCAGTATATAGCCAAGCTGCAGAGCATTATATTAGTGCCCTTCAAACTTTACAGTAGATTAGGATCACCTGGAGATCTTGTTTAAAATGCAGAGTGCTAGAGCCTGCCCCCAGAGATTGTGATTGAGTGAGTATATCTGAGGTAGGACCTCGGTTAGTCCTAGGTGGTGCTATATTGGAGATCCTAGAACTGTACTTTGAGGAACGTTACATTAGATTGTTAACATCTTAAAAATTTGCCAGTTTTAAGTAATTTGTGGATTACTATTAAGTCATTTGTCCACTGACTAGTGTATAGCTGTTTGGTATGCTTATTCCTCTATTAGCATTTGTCATACTAGGTTCTATAGATAGCAAAGGTAGCATGGACACAAGTATATATAGCTTCAAATTATTTTGTAGTTGCATTAAGAAGATTGATTCTGACATCATAAAATCCTAATGTTCAGAGAATTTATCTTTAACACATCTATATAAATTAACTCATAGAACCCATTTATCTCCCCAGTTACCTTTCTACTTTAGTTCCTTTTTGCCCTTTAACCTCATTAATTTCAAAGGCTCAAAATTAAAATGACTCATTACAATTTAAATGTATCTCTGATTCATGTCTAATACATACCATGAAATCATCTGTAATTGTGTATTGTTCTGCTGGTCCCAGACATCGTGCAATGAAAATAGGCCACCTACTTCCAGATCCATAGCCCCTTTTGGACATAGTATGTAATTGCTGTATTAATTATAGGTTTCTTTGTTTTGATGCTTTAAGCATTTGATTCTTCTTGAGAAAGTTGAATTGGCCAATTATTTTGACTCTTAAACACATAGATGGTAAAAATGAAATTATGTTATTAAATGCATACTAGTTGTTTTAGTTTATGTATGGGGAGACGTGAACTATATGATGCTGAATATTTTCTTTTTTGTGGTGTTTTGTTTTTAAATAGGCTAATAGCACGCCAGCTTGCTAAAATCCATGCTATCCATGCACACAATGGCTGGATTCCCAAGTCTAATCTTTGGCTAAAAATGGGGAAATATTTCTCTCTCATTCCCATAGGATTTGCAGATGAAGACCTTAATGAAAGGTAAAATTACTTTTTACATTTTAAGTGATATTTTACATTGCTTTGCTCTACATATTGGGTTTCAAAGATAACTATGAGTTTTTATGTATAAAATAATGGTTTGGTTTATCTTTTTGCATTTGAATAAAATAAGCATTGACTCATTTGATTCACAGATGGCACTATGGAAATAAGTCTTTCTCCATCAACTGACTCAGAAAAAAAAAAAAGCCCTACAAAAGCAGGAGATGTGGGAGTGGGTAGAAATAAGGGGCTAAGAAATTAATATAGAACATTTATTTGGAAGTAAATGAAATATAAAGCATGAATGGGTACATTTTTTGTGTAGTGTGAGTTGCCATAGACTCTTTTTTAAAAAGTTATTTTTGTTAAAAGCTGTTTTGGATAGGCCTAGAGGTCTACATTGGGACAGTGTAGTTATATTGGAGTGTGAAAAGTTTGTGTTGTCTTAGATTTCTATGATTATTGAAGTCCCCAATACATTTACTGGTTGAAAGGTTGAAAATACATTTACTGGAGTCTTAAAACTGACTCCCCAGATTCAAACTGACTAAGGTATTTCATTATTTTCTATATAAAACAATTTACAAATCATTATTACATTTTAATATAGTGTAATACTTGTGAAAAATTGGAAATTTTTGTTCTTTATATCTGAAACATACACGAAAATTTCACCTTTTATATTTCAGGAAGCCTTTGTTTTAAGAACAACAGGCATATAGGACCTATGGATTGTTTTTGTTCTTTTTTTATATTTTTATAATTCATTAGAGAAAAATAGCTGCATCATTCTGTTGAGTTTATTTCAAAAATTAGTTTCAGTCACTCTGTGTATTTGTATTTGCTGATAGTTTTTCAAACTTTGAATTTGGTAGGGATATTATACCCCTTTAACTGGGATAGGCAAACATCTGTAAGTATCCAATGTGCTGGATATTCAGGAAGTAACAGTGTGAAAACAGAACATTCTCTTTTGAATTAGTTATTTTATTTAAAGATTTTTTTGGGGAAAACCACCTAAAAATAATGAAGTAGATGGCAATGATGAATGCAAGATTTTCTTGAGTTTTTAAGATAATGCAAAGTTGAGAGGTAGTGTAGCATTGTATGGTTTCAGAGCACAAGACACTGGGATCAGATTATCTGGAATCAAATCTCAGTTCTGCCAATGAACAGTTCTGCTCTTTAACCTTGGGCAAGTTACCTCTTTCCTCATCTGTAAAATGGGAATAGCAGGAGTAGTACATTTACCTTTTAGGGTTTTTATGAGGATTAATTGAGTTAGAATATATAAAATTATTAGAACATTGCCTGGCCATTTAAGTGGTAAATAAATGTTAGCTGCTGTTTTAAAAATTATTATCCAATGAAGCTTTTTTGGGTAGGTTTTGGGTTATATTTCCTAGAATCTCTGTGACGTAGACTTTAAATCCTTGAAGTTAGTGATATTTTGGAAAAGCTGAAGATGCACAGTGATTAACAGGGTGAAAACATCCTGTCTCAATAGAAAATAAACGACTAGATCATTAAAAACAATTAAAATATTAAAACTATTTTTCATATTTTCTTCCATTCCTTTTTGTTTGTACTTGATTATAATCATGTTCGTAATCCTGTGAATCCTATTCTATTCGTTTCTGTACTTTTAAATAAATTCGTGAACAGTTACATCATTTTGAAAACATAGAAGGATTACTTTTGGAAGCTGTGTAGAGAAGAATGCAGTAGTGGGAAAAATACAGGTAGCAAGCACCTGAATAGGTGCTGTATAGGTGATATACTTTTTACTTTTCTGCCCTTCATTTTAACTGTTGCTCAGTTTCTTTTTATTCATGGTTAAGTTTATTGTAAAGATTTTCCTTTATTCTAGCTTTTGGAATAATTGGCTTGTTTTAATTCAAGAGTCTGTGGAATTAAATGGAAAGAACTTATTAATAGATACTAATAGATAATAATCCTTAATAGATACTAGTAGATACTAATCCTTAAACTTGAAAAAATGTCAGTAATATAAATAAGATATAACTTTTTTTTTTAAAACTAAAAGGTTCCTAAGTGATATCCCAAGCTCTCAGATTCTTCAGGAAGAGATGACGTGGATGAAGGAGATTCTTTCCAACCTGGGCTCACCCGTTGTGCTTTGCCATAATGACCTATTGTGTAAGAATATAATCTACAATGAGAAACAAGGTAGGTATGACTTTAGCAGTTAGGTAGAGATGATTTCTTTGATGTTCTTAATGGTCCTTTGATCTTTGACTGAAATTTAATTCAAATGCAAGGATTGAAAACATGCATTGAAGTCTTTAAAGATTTTCTTGTAGGTTATAAAGTTATGGTAACTATGCTAAATTAGGAATATATGTTCTCTATATTTGTATAAAATATGTTTTTTAGATTTGGTTTAATAGAAACAGTTTGGTTCCTGTTAAGCGAATTTTAAATGAAAAATGATAAAATGACTTTGTTTACAAATTTAACTGTAAAACCTATTTGGTAATTCATGGTTTGTAAATACACCTGCTTGTAATGGGGGTTATTGAAAAACAATGAACTTGCATTGCTTTATAAATAGAGAAATTTTCTCAGTGTTAGCAAGGACAACAGTTATTAGAAACAAATATGTCTCCAGGTTTTCTATTACCCATTTATTATACTGATTTATTAGAAATTTTAATGCTAGGGAGAGAGCCACAGATGGAGGAAATGTTACTTGTAGTTGTTGAAATTTATATCTACTAAAGTAATAATCAAGGAGTCTGGTAACGAGTTTTAACATTTTGAGGTAGATAGTGATAATTTTTGGTGAAATGTTTCTGTGACTGTTTATATCTTTCTGTATTCAAATTCTCTTATGTTTTCATATTTAAGAAATACTTGGTTATATTATTAGATAAAGTGGTTTGAGGTTTGGTTGCTACAGTAGATGCCCTTCATTACTAAAATGAAATTTCAAAATACAATTTTGGTTGAAGGATTAGTATTAATTCAAAAAGTATATTTGAAAGTATGAAGCTACTGCATTTTATAGGAAATCAGTTTTGAAGATAATCATTATAGTTGAAAGATTATTTTGATTCCAAAGTGTTGTGTTGTGAAGATACTAAAGCCAAAGAATTCTGATTAAATGATCATAATTATATTAAAGTACTGTTTATGACCAGTCTTACCAGATGATAAGTTGAGACTACTATAATGCAAAAGTTGTTAATAGTTGTAACTTTCTTTAACTTGAAGAAAACCAACCAAAGGACACTGTCAGGGGTAGTAGACTGAAGCACCTGTTTTCAAAAACATATTTGAATAACTTTTATATTTGATATTTTAATGTGGATTGGAGATTGTATTATTTAAAAATATGCTGAGCTAACATTTTCTTTTTGAATATCTTGAAGTTTTTGTATGGAGTCTTTTTTTAAATATTAGGTATACTCTAAAACAAGTACTTGACAGTGTCCTTTAATTTTTTAAATTGTCCATTTATTATATATAATTGTCATAGTATATATACGCACTACATTATATGCTAGTAACCAAATCTCAATGCCATTTGTGAGACAAGAGTATTAGTTATGCATTTAAAGCAGTGTTTTAGCTTTTAATTTAGTGCAAGACCTAATAACACATTATTTTGTATAATGGAATTTCAAGTGAGGGACTTCATCTTACGTTTGAAGTGGACACTCAGCTTTATTTTTAACTGCAAGTTAATAAAGAGAGTCTATTTCCTTTGGAATATAATTTTAATTTTTCATACTTTTATGTTTCTTTTGCATATTCATTTCACGGAACAAACTTGTATATACAACTAAAATAGAAGGGACCAAAAAAATCAGATTACTTTGTCATAAGTATTAAAAAATGCATTTTTACATTTTAACCACTTGCCTGTCTAAACTATTGATTAGTGATAAGAAAAGTCCTCACATTTTAAAATAAAATCTTTATGCTTCAGTTTGGCTTTAAGAATTCAAAGTCATCATTTGTTTATATTACCAAGAATTACCTAAATCATACTTTTGTGTCTAATTTTTTTCTTTACACAGAAGAATAAATTTCACAGTTCAACAAATATAATTACTTTGATATATAGTTTAGAGTTTGCCCTTTTTCATAGAAGTCTGTTATGTACCATTTGTTTCTTGTCTTTGTGGTTATGTTTGTGTGTGGGTTATGGAGATGTTTTGTTATTTTTCCTTACCAGTGATTTTATAGTGTCCGTTAAAAAGGCTGGTTTGGATTCCATGACATCTACTTAAAAAAAGAAAATCTATTCTTATGTGATTAGTTGATACATAAGCATTAAGAAAATACGGTTGGAATTTTGTCAGGTAAAATCTGAAACTCATGAAAGTGTGGCAAGAAGCTTGTTCTGTTTATTATCTTACTCTTTCAAATATTTACTTTGATATATAGTTTAGAGTTTGCCCTTTTTCATAGAAGTCTGTTATGTACCATTTGTTTCTTGTCTTTGTGGTTATGTTTGTGTGTGGGTTATGGAGATGTTTTGTTATTTTTCCTTACCAGTGATTTTATAGTGTCCGTTAAAAAGGCTGGTTTGGATTCCATGACATCTACTTAAAAAAAGAAAATCTATTCTTATGTGATTAGTTGATACATAAGCATTAAGAAAATACGGTTGGAATTTTGTCAGGTAAAATCTGAAACTCATGAAAGTGTGGCAAGAAGCTTGTTCTGTTTATTATTATCTTACTCTTTCAAATTAGGAGCTAATGGTTTTGAAGTAATATAACTATATGACATATTTACATTTAATTATATAGAAGATATCATACTTCATACTTTAAAAAGTATAAATTCTATAAATTTAGTGAATTTACTAAGCAAAAAAATAAAAGACTTTAGCATAGCATTAGTACTTATAGCTGCAGTTTCAATGAGGAGACTTAAAATTAGAAATATGAACCACAAAGTTCTTAACTTTCTTAACTGGTTACTTTGTATAGTCTCTAAAGCTGAATGTTAAGTCTTTTTGGGTTAAAATAATTTCTACATAGAATAAATGATTAAGCTGCATATTACATTCACAGATGTGTTTGATTCGTTATCACTTTTTAAGTTAATTCATGTGATTTGGGCTCAGAGCTTCACCATTTTGTACCTAGCTATGAGATATAAATAAATATATGTAAAAGTAGTAAAATGAAAGCCAAGAGACTGACTTTGATATTCTCAACTTCAGTACTTGAGTGTTATGTATTGTGTTTCAGACCCTAAATTTCTCAGAATGCAAGTTTAGTTAAACTTCATAATTCATACTGGATCATCTTGAAGTCCCCGCATGTATTTTTCAATCACAATAACTTAGATTTTGTGTACTGTAACTAGAATAAAAATTTCTAAGTTAACTCTTAAAAGCAGATATATTAAGCTTAGTTACAACCAAGAGAGAAGTCAAAAAGAGTGTAAATTTTGAACCAAGCACCCTTGGGTTCAGATTCCTGCTCAGTCACGTACAGAAGTGATATTAGACAAGTCATTTTATCTCTTTTATATTAAGTGTTTATATTTGATCCTTGACTATCTGTACCAGAATCCCATAGGTTACTTGAAAAAAATGCAGGTTTTGGGTCTCATTCAAGACAAACTGAACAAGAATTTCTGTAGATGGGCTTAGGAATCTTAATGTTTAACAGATTTCCATGCAGTGCTTATATTGTTGAAAGCCTAGAACTTTAGTTTGCTTTATTTTTAACTTAGATAATATCTGCTTCAGATGATTCCTGAGAAGATTTTAGAATGTGCAGATAGCACTGGAGTAGGTACTTAGCAGTTTTCAGTTACAGCTATTTATACCATGATAGGAGTTGGCAAACTTTTTCTGTAAGGAGCTAGATAGTACATATTTTAGGCTTTGCATGCCATATTATAGTCTCTTTTGCAACTGTTTAACTTGGTGGTAGTGTATAAACACAGGCATAGATAATAAAACATTCATGTGGCTGTGTTGCCAACACCTGTATTTTGTTTATAGGATGTATTTTACAAAATGATTCTGATTCTGAAAAAGTGAAAATTATTGTTATGAAGCCAGAAGGTTAACTATGTTCTATAACTAGGGAAATTATGGCTCGTAAGTATAAGATGACAATTCAGTTTTTCTTTAAGTGCAGTTTACAGATTGTATCTTAATAACTGTATCTTGAATGATTAATGTAAATAAAAATGTATATACGTATGTGTGTATATATACATAAGTACATATTCACGTAGACACACACAAAGACTGTGAGCACCTTGTGGTTTATAGGCATTTTCACCTTTGATAGGCATCAGAGGGAGAAATACTGCCAGTACCTCTCCTCACCATGTCACTTCACAGAACTCAGAAATATGGGAGAAGAGTGAGCTTTCTTTCTGAAGTTGATGGTAGCTATCAATATTTTTGAAAAGTTAGGTAGGTTGGTAAACAGTGGCCCATTCCTTGCCTTCAGTGAAATATCTTAAAAAGATAAAAGAACACTTCATGATATGATGATAGGATTTGTTACATTATAAGAAAACCCAAAGCAGTGATATTTTTGCTCCTGAACTGTAAGGCAAGACTTACCAGTCATCTCTTAACAATTAATTTTAAAGAGAATTTATACTAAGTAGAACAAATTGTAGTACTGCTTACTGTCTTACTTCAAATATGATATTTAAATTCCAACTAATCCTTCAGCCACTGACATGTTAGAAGTAATTGCTAAAGCTTTTTGGTTGGTTGTCTCATGTCTTGATGCTGTCATGTTTATTGGTGGCTGTGTTGTTTTTTTTCCCCCTCCACCATTTCTTCATAAAAGCTCATATAAAGATCAAATATATAACTTTAAATTTCAGCAATGGCAATCATTGTTTTCTGTGTCAGCAAAATACAAGAAGCTGTTACAGCTAGTTAAGGAAATACAGATGAGTGGAAGAAAAATAAAGCTTTTCCTGAGAATTATAGCGTAAATCAGGTTTGTTTTGCACAATATAAATAGAAAATAGGTGATTCACCATTATTAGTCACTAGATTGGCTCTAAATCTTATCCACTCATTATTTTTGAAAAGGCATTGTTGTCATTTTATTGACCTTTTAATGACTTAAGACTTTTTAAGTATTTTTGTTGTTGGTTTTAGTTTAAAATTTAAGTAAATACAAATTTATTGTTGTGTTTACTAACCTATATTTTCCAAGGTGGAGTTTTTATGAAGGATAGCCTTAACCTTGTTTTAACTTGTATTCCAGATTATATCTAGCATAAAATAAAATATCCCTAAATTAAGTAATAAAAAACTTTAGTGGACTGTAAAAACCTGTACTATTAAGGAGTAGCTACCTAAAATAGTTATTAGTTTAGTGTTTTTTCTTTACTCACACATTCAGTCTCACTGTATGTTCAGTCATATACTTGAAGGTCAAAAATGCCACTCTTAGTTCATTAGTATTTCATGCTTATTCCCCCCAATCTCCATTTAAACTTAAGTGTTATCATTGTGTCTCAGCATTCTCTAAAAAACCTTCATTTGTTCCACTAGCATTTTAATACTTCCTATGTGCAAGGTATTGCTCTGTGGATTGCATGATGAAAGATGAAAGGACTTACTGCCCTTTCCAAGAAGCCATATATATGCTACGTAGTAGAGTCATCATCATTAAACAGATACTTATATTCAAAATGATGAGTGTTGTGGTGAAGGGTATACACAGGCTACTATTGGACACCAGAGTGAGGGATGAAGGGAGTTTCCCAGAGCAGAATACATATAAGAGAGAGCATTTTGCTAACATTAGTGTAATCATGGTTACACTTTCTCTCTTTTCTCTCTCTTCCTTACCTAACGCTACAGAGAAAGTTGAGTGAGTCAGAAAGATTTCAGGTTTTCAGTATTATTTTGCTTTTTATCTTTATCCCTTTTTCCTTAACAACCGCAAAATAAAGGAATCCAAAAGAACGTGTCGTATGAATGATACAGACTTAGTTGATAAAATAATTTTTTTGGTTTTAAAGTACTTTAAAAATTGACTGACTGTTTTCAGCTGTCCTGGGATTTGAACAATAATTTAACTCAGTAGAGTGTGAGTTTTATTACTGTGAAGATATGCAAGAAATACAGTAATAAAGAAAAATGTAGCTTTTGAAAATTCAGATTATAGTTTTATTCATTCTTATGCTTTACCCATTATATGCCAGTCAGTGTGCTAATTATATAAAGATAAATAATATGTAATCTTAGCTCTTACAGCACTACTTCTTTTTAGAGGTCAAGGATCCTTTGAGAATTTGTAGAATTGAGAATCCCCTCAGAAAATGCACATACACATGAAATTTTATATAAAACTTTAAGGAGTAGTCTCATTTTTCCCTACCCTTAGGACCCCAATTAAAAATTCATGTCTTAAAAAATTAACAAGATAATCATGCCATATAAACTATTAATTATTAATAGTGATGTAGAAATTTTAGGAGTCAAAAGTTAAATTTGCAGAAAAAAAATAAGTTCAGTATACTTTCTGTGGGTAGGAAAGCATTTTTCAGTAATTTGATTTTTCTGGCACCCAAAATAAGGGAAGTAGGCATCTTTAATTTTACTTTGTTGCAGAAGATTAAATTTAAGGTTGAGTTCCACTTTGTTTGCAATAGTTTAAAAAAGAATAGTTAATGCAGATTTTTCTTTTAATTTTTTCCTTTTAAGCTTTGTGTCTTGTAAAATGTGAGTTTGCCAAATTTTCTTCATCTGCTACAGATTAGGTATGCCATTGTTGCTGCCATGTGGCGGCGCACCCCGTGCTTCTTAAACGCACTGACTGGAGGTTTATCGCATCACTTGTTCACATGCACGGAGCCTGGTAACAGCCTCATCTGTATCTTGTTAGCTTCATTTTCTTATTTTTTAAATTTCATTATTTATAAACTCAACATAGCATATAAAAATAAAGGCTAGTTTTAATGAATTAATGCTACTACAAAAAGTCATTGCTAAAATTTTCATACTGAAATGGATTTTAACTTTTATTAAAGTGAATGACCTATGTTTAAATTGTATTTACAAGCAGGCATGTTCTACCTGTCATTTTAACTATATTTGCCAAATTCTAAATATAATTTTGAAAATTGAAATTGAAGCTTTTGTTTATGTGGCAAAAGTAAGCTTCAGGACTGGGCTGTGTATTTTTATTGGCATGTAACAGTTAATATGAGCTCTACAAGTGTTTTTGTTTAAAGGGCTAAAACAATCAACAGCTGCTATTTAAAAATTTATATGTTGAAACTGGTTCAGTTGTGCACCTTTGTAAATCTTGAATCCTGATTTCTTGAAGGCTTGGTGGATAGTTATCTCCCAAGTCATTGTGTTTATTTAGTACATTATCTGTTGACAGTTTTGTTTAGAGAATTCCTCTTAATCTTTTTAAACTATCATTTTTTTCCTCCTAAAAGTAATGTTTATTGAAAAGAATTTAAAATATAAGGGAAAAGTCCCTTGTCTGTCATCTGTTGAAACATTTTATTTTGGTTATTTCTGTTCACTTTTTTTTCCACTATGCATTATTTGACCTTTTTTCCTTCTTCAGGCATATTTTATTAATTTGGATTACTACATTTACTTTTTTGTATCTTTTTTTCCACATAATGTTTGTAATTCTCATCATTAAATCATTTTTGAAAATGAAATTTTTTTTTATGGCTGCAAAGTGTTTTGTTATGATAGTGGTCTTCACTTGCTCATTCCCAGTGGTACCTGGAAAAAAAAAATTAAAACATGTTCTGACTTCCCATTCTGCAATTTAGTTAATTTGGTTGAAACATTCTATCTTCTCATTCTACACTTTTAGTAACATGATTTGGTTAACTTTAAGACTTTCTGTGGGATGATTTTTGTGAATTCAAGAATATAATACTTTTGATGGTTGAATTGCAGTGATTTATTGTAGTCACCAACATTTATAACCTTATATTTTGTCAGTATACATATAGATTTTGATAACTGGACTTTTGATACTTTCTCATTTATTTTACTGATGATTCTCACTAATTTTATTTTAGACTTTACTATTATTTATACAAGTTTAGAATTATTTATTAAATGCAATTACACTGAAATCTGCTTTTATGTAAAATACTTCATTTACTATGACATTTTTTGTCATATAATTGTTTTTCTGAGTTTGAATATGATCAGCATACATCCCCAAATTAAACATATATATCTATATCAAGACATTAGAGTTCAAAAGCTCCTTTTTGGGGAAATTCCAATGTATATAGGTCAGGAATTTGTTTTGTTACCTTAGGATAATCTCTAAAAGACAGTGTAACTGGACATATGCTATTCATTTTCACAATGTAAGCAGCTTAGAAACTATACTTACAGCCATCTCTGTTGATGTATCCATTTTAACTGTTTGCCCCATAAGCCTTTGAGTTTGTGATTCCTGGTGTAGTAACTCATTTTAATTCACAACTCTTCTCTGTCCCCCTTTCCCCTCTCAACTTTCTCTTGTTTCTCTTAAAAAAAATTTGAACATATATCTTTGTTGAGTCAAATCCTCTACAATACTCAGTATACCTTTGCTTTTTATTTTTAAAGATAAAACAATCACCTTAATGCTGCTCAGGTCTGCTCTTGGAAACTCTAATTATGTAGCATTCCAGGAAAGTGTAAGAGTTTGATTGCAATGGTATTCTTAAATTAGGGATATTGTTAAGTTGATCAGCAAGTGTTATAGCATAACTGCAAGGTTCACAGAATTCAAGTCTTTTAAAGTTTATATATAATTCGTGTTTGTAGATTAGCTTGTCAGTTCATTTTTGGAGTATCATAGATTAAATTTTTGTTAAAATTGCTTAGATTATTAACAACTTACAAAAATAGCATTTATTTCTAATTAAACTTGAATTTTTAAGTAACTGGTGCCCCCATGTGGTGAAAGACATATTTTGCTTTTATTCGAACTTGGAGAATGGCTATACAATATTTTAACTTTCTTTAATATAATGGACATAAATGTTCACAAAGAAGCTGTTGACCAAGATAGAAATTTGTAAAGCTCATTGCCATAAAATTCACAGCCTTACCCTGTATTGTCTCAGAAGTGCATGTTAACCAAGCACATACAATGAGACAAAATATTGGAAGCTATTTAATTACAAATAGCATAGGGATTTTCTGATCTTATATATGATTTCTTATGTCTTTGGTTTTGTGTCTCACATAGGTGATGTACAGTTCATTGATTATGAATATTCTGGATACAACTACCTGGCATATGATATTGGAAATCATTTCAATGAATTTGCAGGTAAAATTTAGGGGTTAATAGAGTAGCATGTATAACTTTAAAGTGATACTTGTAGATTTTTTTTCTTTCGAGAAGATAAACTGGGAATAGGAGCATCATTTTAACTTCCAACTGATCTTTGTGTTTTGTTTTTCTTTATTACTGGAAAATAGAGGAGATGATTTCCTTAATTTCTTAAGGAAAACAAGAAAAAAAAATACTAACTCTGGCTTCTCTTAAGACCTGACATAGTACAAGGTGCTTTATAAATCACATCTCATCTTATTTTTTCTCCACAACAATTTGATAAGTTAGGTAATATTCCCAGTACATAGATGAGGAAAGTAACTTACCCATGTTACTGTAAAAATACAGAGAATTAAGATTTTAAGCGAATTATCATTTAATAGCCTTTGCTATTTCCGTTGTGTACTTGGGCTTTTGGAATGTTGATTAACTAAAAAGCTTAAGAATTTTTTTTGTCATTGACTGTGAATAATTGAAAAAGTGGTTCAGTTTTGCCTCTGAAAATTAATTTATCACCATCAAATGTAAAAGTTTTAGTTTTTTAATGTAACTGGAATTGATTTAAAATAAATTTCGTGACTATATTTAGAAACATGAAATTACATCTAGTTTTTCATCACTAAATGTATATCTATATACATTCATGCATTCATGCATTTTCACATACTTTAGGTTACCAGTCTGGAAAAAAGTTGGAGGTAAAGTGTCGGTTTACATATTTTCAGTTATTTCCCTCCACCAAGCTTATCATATACAATCCATATCCTTACATATACTGTACATATTTCTACATATCTGAATGAAGGGAAAGCAGTTGTTCATATAATGAGCTATCACCATGTTATTAGTAAGGATAGTCACTGCTGTGGATATGAAAGGGGATACTACCATTCTTAATATGATTTTGTATAGAAAACAGTAAGCTAAAACTTGAAAGTTAGGTAGCGTTTGGATGTGCAAGTAGAAGAGAAAAGAAGGTACTTCAGGAAGGAAGAAGAAAACTTCATGGTGAGTATATTTTTGTAGGTTGTAAAATTCATGAATGAGAATAGAACATGATAAGAGTGGAGAAGTAAGTTTGGACTGACTTAACCTTGAGTGCTAAACAAAACAGTATGAACTTTATTTTCTAGATTAGTCTTTTCAAATTGTAGATTGCGAAATCAAATTTGTGGGATAATATTTTAAAGCAAGGAATGGAAAAGGAATAGGAAATAAGGAAATATCAGAGTTGGAAGATATAGTTAGGGTAAATATTGTTTGTGAATCTTAATATTAGGTATGTGTATAAGGTTTCAGTATAAATATAAATGTATTTCTTATCCTGTGAGTAATGATCAGAAAAGTTTTAGAGCCACAGTTCTAGGGAAAGCTCTAAATATTAGTATACTCAAGAATCTCCTGGCGGAGTACTTATTAAAATGAAGATATGGTGCTTCTGAGGTAGCTCAAGCTTCACACTTTCAGGAAAAATTGAAGCAGTAAGAGTTGATTAAGCTTGCTGATCAAATGTATTGTGCATTAGGATTTAAGTTGGAATACATTATGATTGGTTTATTATTTTAATAAATGCCATATTTAACTTCTAGTATTTCAGCCAAATGTCTTATATTTTTTTCCCAAAAAATTATGTAGATGGTAAGGATTATTAAAATATGCAGAAGTAATGTATTTTTAAAATCTTTAGTATACTTTTTTTTTCATTGTAGGTGTGAGTGATGTAGACTATAGTCTCTATCCAGATAGAGAACTTCAGGGCCAGTGGCTGCGTTCTTATCTTGAAGCCTACAAAGAATATAAGGGCTTTGGGACTGAAGTTACTGAAAAGGAAGTAGAAATACTCTTCATTCAAGTCAATCAGTTTGCATTGGTAAGTTTAAATGTAAACAATTAACAAAATATTCTTAATATGATTTAAAAATCATAAACCAGTTTCCTATTTTGTTCACAATAATGACAAAATACAATTGTTTACAGTTCTCTCATTGTAATACAGTTGAGGACAAATATTTTTTATTTCATTCAAAATTATAATCCCAACCCCTAGAACAACAATGCCTGGCGACATGGTAAGTGCTCAGTAATTATTTGTTTAATGAATGGATTCTAGTTAGAGTTAGGATTAATTGTGAAGCAGTTTTTTATATTACTTTGTATTCTTTTTACATTATGAAAAACATAAAATCAAGGACAGATTTATGGAAAATGAGGTTTTCTCCAATACATTTAATTATCACATCTTAAGGTGTTCACATGACAAAAGTATATTGAAAGAACCAGAAGAATTTTCCAAACTTACCCAGTATTTTGTCTTCTTGACCTTCTTTTGATAAGCAGTTACTTCTAGCTTCTTTGATGTGTTAATGTCTTACTATTTTGAAGACCCATTTCTCTGTACTCTAAATGCATTTATTTTTTTAAAATTAGTTGATTTAAATTAATCTTTTGAGAATTATGTGATGCATTAGAATGAGCTTTCAGCTACGATGTTACACAATTAAATTGAATACTAGGTCGAAGTTATATTAGCTACTTTTTTTTTTCTTTTTTTAGTTTTAATGTAATTCTGTGCAATTGACATGGGGAATATTTGCTGTGTATTCTTTACAGATAGATAGATGCTGTTGGTGGCTCACAGGTGTACTTTTACCCAGAGCCATTCAGAAAACATTTCAAGTAAAAGGGTGTGCTGAAATGTGACTTCACCTGCTGCTGTTCTGGTAGAACTGTTGGTTACCTTAATAGCTTACTCTCCAGCTGGCCTTAGGATGCCTGCTCTTTCTATTTATTATTTTTAAACATGATCTTAAAGTAGAGAATGTAGGGTTTCTTTCTCACAAGGTCATTTAATGAACTTCAGAATCAACCTAGTACTTTTATTTACCAGTTTCTGTATTAACATGAGGAGTATTATTATTGCCATATTTTGTATTTTTCCCATGTACCCATTTAAAGAAATTAAATTATTACTAAGACATTCAGTTTATTAATTTCTACTTAAAGTCCACATAGCTTATAAATAAATTCTTAGTCAGTAATCCCGCTGTTTACTATTTTATCTCTAACTTGGGTTCTCCTGTAAACTTTTGATGATGCTTAACATTTTTGTTTGGATACTGTTGTTTTATATATATACATGGTATTGAAAAACACAGTTACTTCTGGCTTGAGCTGATTATTTATAAATATTCATTAATCAGGTATCAAGTACTTATTGTTACTCTAGGTCTGATAGATCGTAGGCTTAAAAAGGAATAAAAGATAGTACATTCCTTCAAATTGCTTATAATTTAAAATAGCAAATAAACTGTACAAAATGCCTTTTTCTGGATGAAATATAATGCACATTCCTATTTTAAATTCTTAGCAAATTAGAATTAGAAGGAAACTTAACCTGAATTTTTTAAAAAGGAATATATATCCATAATACGTTCAGCAAACATTCATGAAATGTTCTTTGTTCAGTAGGTCTTATAGAGACTTACAACTTTAACACCTTTTAAAAAATACTTATTTCTCATCTAGTATGACCTCAGAATTTACATATCTTAGTTTTCATATAAGCTTTATATGGTAAATCTATTATGCTGAGTTCTTCCTCATTAAAATACCATTGAAAACCATTTATTAAACCAGTTTTGGTTTGAATTCCTCTATTTTATCTAAATTCTACTGATCCTCTGTCATGTGCTTTTCTTGTTCTTTCTCTTCTTGACCTTTTTCTTCTGAGGTAGATTTCTTTCTCTGTTGCTATCTTCAGATAGAATATAGCAGAGACCTCACACTCGGCTTCACCAGCCCTTCTCATTGAGATTACTAACTCTTACTTTGAGGCATTTTTTTTTCTATTTCAAGGCTGCCTGTTTTTTTGTAGCTTTCTTTTTTTTCTTATGCTAGCCTATTTACCTCTCTTACCAGCTCCTAATTTTATCCCACCAATCATTAAGTAAATACCTGTTATAATATCAAGTGTTTGAGTGGATAAATAATTGGAAAGGTAGGGCAACATAAAAGCAATCCCTCAGTTTTTCTCCTTTATCATCTTTCGTGCACTCCTCAAGCCAACTGCAATCTGTCTTGCTGTTATAAAAAAATAATTCAGGTCAGGGTTACCAATAGTGACCTAATTGATAAGTTAAGTTTAAACTTTTCTGTATTTATGTTAACTTGATCTATCCATAGCATTGATAATATTTACTATTGATTTTTAGAACTTTGTCTCATTAACTTTTGTGATACCATTCTTCCTTGGTTCTCCTCTTTTGTGTTTTCCTGCTCAGTCTCCTCTGGCTCTTTTTTCCTTCCTCTTTTCCCAACCCTCTTACATGTTAGTGTTCTGATTTTGGGCTCTCCCCCCTCCTTTCACTTCACTTATTATTGATTGCTATGATTCGTTAATGTTGAGGAGATGGCAAACAAAGGGAGGTATTTGCATTATAAAACCAAATAGATACACATATTTTAAGCTTTGAGGAGTTTTTAGACATATTGTTTACAGACTTCGGATTCCTTCTAAGTAAAACGTTAGAGTTATATGGGGGTTTTTCAGAAAACAGTTTGAGGATTCATTTTAGTTATTTGTTCACCATATAAAGCTTTGAATTTTTCTTTGCAACAGAAATGGGTATCCCGGAAATTAAAATGCCCTTTGACAGAGAGACTTACATATTTAGAACTTCCAAATCTGAGGGGAATAGTTTAAGTAAATCATGGAGTCATAGAATATTATTTTATTTGGACTTAAGTAGTCTCTGCCATTTTGGGGAAAATGAATGGGCTGTTTTCTACATTTATATACTATATTTACTACATGAATGAAAATGAATTGAGAAATACAGTTAACTAGCACTGCTTAAAAAGGTGGGGAGAACTCGTTTGATGTTATTTTTCGGTGTAGTCTGTCCCATGATTTTAGTCTTTTCTACTACAGAACCAGCATAATAGGAAGAGATTATGATACCATCCACAGATGATTTTTATATCAGTTAAAATATGCTGAGGTAATTTAGACTCATGTTTCTCAAACTTTTTGGGGAGGGTCTCAGAACCCTCCTTTATACTTCAAAAATTTTTTGAAGACCTCTATGAGATTTTGTTTATATAAGTTATCAATATTTACCATACTGGACATTACAACAGACAATATTTATTAAATGCATTTTTTAAAAATAATAAGCTCATAATAAACAGCACACTTTAAATGAAAAATAACTTATGAAATAAAACAATTTAGTGAGAACAGCATTATTCTACTCTTTTGCACATCTCTAATGTCTGACTCAATAAATGCTGGAATTGCCTATCCGCTTCTGCATTTCATATGTTGCAGTATATCGTTTTGGTTGAAGTATATGAATAAAGTCTTGTTTCATACACACATATTGTTAGAAAAGAGAGGAGTATTTTACCTTTTCAGATAATCGTGGGTATTCTTTTTGATACTTCACCAAAACTCAGTAAGTGATAGTTGCAGTGTGCAATCTGAATACATCAGTTGACTCTTTGTACTCTGTTACATTAAAATCTATTGGTTTATCTTGTACTTTGAGTGACTCTTCTACCAGTGCATGGTTTTGTAATTTTAACACTATTCATTAGTCTTTGAAAAATATTGATCCATTGAGTTGTATAGATCTTCCAAATGTCAATGCATCTCGTGTGTTATCACAAAATCACAATCATTAATATCACTACCAGTATCATCAGAAAAGTTTTAAGTACTGTGAATCTGGTAAGCTCATAAAATCAAATACAAATTTTCCAGAGTTAATATTTTAGGTTGAATACTTGGTCTATCATTGGCAACATACTATCAGTTATTTTCATTGAAATGACAAGTTCTCTTTTTTTGTATTTGAGAATTGTCTGCTGAATACCCAGCTCTAATAACTCTAGATTGTATGTCAGTTCTTTTAAGTAAAAATTCGGCATTCTGTAAAAATAAATGTGCAGGTTCAGCTCACAACTCAGTTAATTAAGTGTTTCTCTTTTAGCCAGTCTTCTTGCTTTGGGTATGTAGTAGATGTGCTTTATGTGTTCTTCCTGTATCATCCCACAAAATATTAGTACTTAAAGGTAGAGGTTAATAAAATGAATAGTTTTAAAGGCTTCATAAAGGACATTCTTTAGTGAAACTGACTTTTTACTGTGTGTAGTGATGGAAGAATAGGATACTATACTAATACAGTTTGATGTTACTGCCTTGACTTATGTTAAGGTGCCAGTAGCTTCACCCATCGTTGGTTTTGAACCATCAGTGCAAATGTTAACATAGTCAAAAAGGCACAAAGTGTAACATATTGGTATTGTTATGAAAATAGTTTTGGGCCTTAGGAACCTCCCATGAATTCATGAAATACTTTTGAGAGTGACTGATTTAGACTTTCAAAAGACAAAAGGCATCTCATTTTATTCACTTCTCAATATCTAAGATACTTTCTTAGGTAGGAAGAAGGCCATTTTTAAAAATTCTAATTTTTATCATTTTTATCATTCTAATTTCATGTAATAATAATTAACATTTTATTGAATGTTTGGTATATGTCAGGTGTAGGTACTATTTATTACCTCCTCTGGTGTATGTTTTTTCCACACCATCAATTTTTCTGTTCTTAGCAGACAGTGACTGGGTGTCTCACAAATTTAACTCAATTTTGACAATTCTGACAGTGTGTCAGACCCCACAGGTTGAGGGTTCAGTCCCACAAGACTGCCATGCTTAGGAAATTCCAAGAATTTTGGGAGCTATGAGCCAGGAACAGTGGATGAAGACCAAGTGTATATTTCTTATTATAAAGCATAATATCACACTTGGTATTTTACAGGAATACCAAGGAAACAAATGCACAGAGGAGTTAAATTGGTCAAAACCACACAGCTAGTAATTTTTACAGTTTGACTCCAGAGCCCAGTCTTTTTTTTAAACCAATAGGCTTCACATGCATATAACTTTAGCTGTTTACTCTTTACTACATTTTTTATTCTTACACCTGTATTTGATGAAAAGTTCTATATCCTTCTAGTGATATTTTTTGAGGAAGATAAAGTGCAGTAGTATATTTTAAATAGAGATTTTTCTAGCAACATACTTTTTAAATAGATCTTTTGAGGGTAAAAATTTTTAATAGTATTTCTAGTTATTGTATACCTTGGGAAGTGAAGCCTTATTAGTGTTATCATAATCTTAAAATCATGTTTAACTGAAAATAGATTGTAAAGTGCACACACACAATTATTTTACAGTTTCTAATTACACAACCATCTGTTTTCCCTGTTAAGTCCTAAGACCCATTTCCCTCTGACATAAGTAAAGTTGTGTTAACTTTATGTTGTGGTTGGTTTTGCAGAATTTTGGCGTCAATAAAAATTATTTTCAGATTTTTGTCACCTCAAGAACATTTTCTACATTTAAATATATTTGGATTTTCCATTTTGTTTATATTTTTATGTCAAGAAATGAAGTCCTTTGATAGTGTATTTTATAGGAGAGCCTGTTAGCAATTAATAACATTAAAAACACTTAGCCAGCATCTATGAGTATTGATGTTGAACTCTGCCTACACAAAACAGGTTATAGGAATTGAGTTCTGTTTTTAAATGACTAATTTCTTATAACCACTTTTGATGTAAACAAAAGTGATGTATAGCCATCTAGATAACTATACATATAAATATTGCCTGCGTTTTAGATACTCAATATAAGAAACGCATCAAGAAAGTATTATGTAATTGATGAAAAGGGAAAAAATTAACAATTTGATATTTGTTTTAAACAGAAATGCATTATTATAATTCTTGATCTTTCTTCCTTCCTTTTTAGGCTTCTCATTTCTTTTGGGGATTGTGGGCTTTGATTCAAGCCAAATACTCTACTATTGAGTTTGATTTCCTTGGGTAAGTTTAATTTTACTGTGTGCATTATATTTGTCTCTACTTCCTTTTGAATTAACATTTAGAGTTCATAGGGGACATTGCAGTTATTATTTCAGTCAAATGTTATAAAGGTTGCATACATTTAGTAATTGGTCTGAGAGGAAATCTGGTATAATCTGTTAAATGTGCTCAGTATTAGAAAAGTGTCCAGTAGGTGGTGCAATAAATTAAAAATGCGTTCTTTGAAAATCTTAAAACTTAAAAAAAATCGGCTTAGAAGGATGAGTGAAATAAAGGAAGGATTAAGTTTTTCAGCTTTGACTAATTCTGTCATTATTCTCTTTTCTCACTAGGTATGCAATTGTTCGTTTTAACCAGTACTTTAAAATGAAGCCTGAGGTTACTGCATTAAAAATGCCTGAGTAAAGAAGAGATTTAATTATTCTCAAGAAGCTGAACAGTGTTTATGAATCTTAAGAAATTCAGAAAAGCCAATGCTTGTTAAAATTCTGTTATTTAATTTGGTTATCTTGCTTTATAAATTATGCCTCTAAACAACCAATCTAATTTTTAAATAGACTGAATGATGTCAAAACATATACCTACTGCTATCAGTATGTGGTCGATTAGAAATTTGTTAAATCTGCAAAAAAGTATAAAGATGTCAGTTTAATCTTTTCTTTGGTAATTTAATCTGTTATATGTGAATTATTTATTATAATTGTAACACAAATCTGTGACTGCTTTCATCCATTTCATCTGTTTAAGTGTAAACAATGAAAATGTTCCAGAGAAAATGTTTTTTGTTTTACTTTAATAGGATTACTTTTAGTAAACATTTAGGTGTTCAGTGTAACCTTTTTACCTTGATGCACTGTAAGTAAAATGGATCATTTACTCTTGAAATGCCAGATACTAGTTTAGATAACTTAGGTTGTTCATTGAAAAATCTTGTTAGGAGGGTGAAAAACATTCTCTATGCTAGTGTACATCTTTTTTAATTGAATATTGAAAGGTGTTTCTTTTTGGGGAGTACATCTTAAATTGCCCTCTCCCTGCATAGTTTGGCAGTATAAATGTTAATGTTAATGTATAATCCTGGAATAGATATAATGATTTTATGTTACCAAAATCTGCATTCAATAATGTTCTCATATACTAAATGTGGTCATTTAGGTTACTAGTTTATTTTTAAGATTTTAGTATATCAAATTGTTTCTAACTAAAAGTTTTGTTTTACTTTCTGACAGATGTTCTATGTATTTGTTTGTTATTAAATAAGTAGTAGCTAGTAGAATAATTGCTAGTTTTGGAAACAAAGATAGAATGTTTATCATACTTGGCAACCAGAAAATATCTTTTAGATTAATTTTTTTACCCCTCCAGATTCATTTCTTACATTTTAGGTTTTCTGTTTTAGTTTGGCTCCATGTCTTTAGAATGATAGCAAGTGATTACTTAATACATGTAGTTCAGAGAAATAAGTTGAGGTGGTTAAAAGAATTAAATAAGGAACATTTACAGCATTGATCTTGTACACTTAAAATCTGATGTAACAATGTGAATTAAGCAGAAATGCTCATGGTAGGAAGGCTTCTTTTAGTTTTGATTTCTCTTCAATTTGTTTTAAGTGTATTTTTAATTTTGTTTGGGAGTGAGAGGATGGTAATTATTTGGAAGGAAGTTAGATCTTTCGGATAAGTAGGCTTCAAGTTTCGAAGACTGTTGTGTGGAGTTGAGTAGTCATGGTTTACTTAGAAAATTAGTCTGACAAGCTTTGCACTTTGGTCACATAAGTGCCCATGTACAAAGTTGGCTTAATGGATCTGCATATTCAGAATATGCAACTACGAATTTATCCTCTGAGAAATCTTCTGGGGAGTCTGATGTATTATTATTCCAAATGACTTATGTTCTCAAATAAGTGCTTTAAAATACTTGGATTATCTCAAGATGTTTAAAGCTAATTAAGTAGAAACACTTAAAGGCCATTTTAAATAGTAAATTCTAGTTACATAAATAGAATCTGAAAACCTGTTTGTATCTATAACAGTGTTAGACCAAGATTGTTTTCTACCTCCCCAATGTTACAAATGTTCATTTCTGTTTTTATAAACCACATTACTGTAGGATCAATAGAATTTTACCTAATTGACTAAATGAATGGAACCAATTATTAACAATTAATAGCTTTTTATGTAGTTTAGAGTGAACTTGAAAAATTGGGTTTTGGGGAATTTTCATCTGTGGTTGGAATATTTTCTTAGAATGATGAAGACTATGTAATAATCTTTTCTTTTTGTTTGTTTGTTTGTTTCTGACTTCTTAAAGTGCAACAGTATGTATCTTGGAGAACTATGGGAGGAGAGAAGATCATTTTTCTACTTTACTCCATATTCTCTAAACTATTTTGAATAGAGATTCACTGAGCCATTGCTGGTAGACTGCATAGCTGCTGGCTGTGACACTATTATAAGCATTTCAGAAAGTTTCACATGGAAGTGAATGTAAAGGGAATAAGGCTCTCACTTTAGTCCTAGGAGTGTGCAGTTTATCCTGGGGACAAAATCAGATATTTCCCGCACTCTTTGGCTAGATTTTGGGTGCTGTGATGTTCCCACAGGTTTTTGGGATCATACTGCAGGCTAATAATATGGTTTAAAATTGCTTCCCTTTTTATTGACCATTTAAGGGATTCTCAAGGAAAAACATTCATCTAAAATTTATCCTGTAACTTGTCTGTTGCCTTTTTATGTTAAGCTAAAGAACTTGAATGAATGCCTTACCCTAATAACTTGTAAGCTCATTTTGTAAATATAAAAATGGTTGTTAGAGAAGTGGCATTCATGTGTACTCATTGTTAGTCAATAGACCATAGTGGCCTGGATGCTTTAACAAGCAAAATTCCACAGTTTTTTCCCTTTTTGTTCCTTACATACTTATAAGATCTTACCTGACCAGTAATATTTGATTCTTTTTCCACTCCTAACCCCATGCTACCACCATTTTCTGGAAATCAAAGCGATGTGGTAGTAAATCTTACTGTTCACATGATCATTTGAGATCAATATGAGCACAAAACTCTTCAACTAGGTCTGCCTGGAATGTACATAAAACAGTGTAAATAAAATTTGTAAATTAATGTGGATTGTATCTTGCATATGAGATTGTGTATTGTTTTGCATTCTCTTCCCTTTTGTAGAAATTTTTCTGTAAGGAAATGATCCAGTTCTTTGGTTTTAGACTGGAAATAGCCAACCGTTCTGGCTGCACAGTGGGGTAACAAGAGGAACTGGAAATAGGGTTTATCAGTTTTTGTTAATGTCATTATTTATTTAGCCTCTCAGTGCCTAATAGGACTTTACTTCATTCTTTGGTTGTCCATTAGTTTTTGTGAGGTTAGATTCCTGCAAGCAGCCAGTTAATATATTGCTAAAACTCCATTCTTTGAGTCATGATTCTAAGCTAAAGCAAATTAAAAATATAATTAATGATTACAAACTGAAGTATTCTTTCCTATTTTCAAGGCTGTTAACCTTTTTCTACAAAAAAAAAAATCCCTTGAAATTTTAGATATCTCAGTGTGAATCTAAATCCCATATACACAAGTGATATGATAAATAATAGCTCTTAGTTTAATTTAAACATATCTCTAAGTATAAAGTTGTTCATTATGGAATTGTAAAAGACAGATAAGACTTAAGCAATCTTTTAATGACTGCTGTTTCCATTTTTGCTGTACTAGAAATATTTTAGCCATAAATATTACAAAAGCTTCCAAATGTAAAGAAAAAAAAGTTTCTCCAGATACTTACTTTTCTTTTCTTTTTTTTTGGATACCACAGAGCAACAGACACTTTCAATTACAAGTTAAAAACCTCCGCTTTAATAATTATATAGGTATTTCTTTTTTACATTACCGAAAGCCTTCTATATCATTTTTAATTCTTTCGTAAAATAAATGAGAATACTATCAGTTTGATTTTCTGCTTTAAATTGCCTTTAATCATTTTATACTGCATTCCAAAGTGATATCGACATAAGCTTATAATGTTAATCAGTCATTCAGTTGATAGACAAAGTTAACAGAGCTTTATGCTAGAAGAGTTTTGTCATTGGCAGCAACTTGCACTACTTTACACAAGAGACAAACGCTTAATTTTTATGTACAGAGGAAAATGGAATTCTAAGTATGTGGTAAAGCAGCTTTATCTTCAAAATTGATTTGCTCTGATTTTTCTTCTTTAATGCATTGGATTTGAGACTCCTTTGACTGGAAACTTAGTTACATATTAAGGCAATCTGTTTTGTTTTTGTTTCTTGTTTTAAAGACATTAGTTATATTGAACTGCTTTTTTTTCTCCTCTTATATACCACCTGTGTGATTACAGTGTTATGTCTTAGGTTTGAGATCTTTGAGCAGAAAAGTGTATCAATTATTTTAAATGAATTTGCCCCCCGACTTTGAAGCGTAGTCTGTAAAATGTGTTAATATAAAAAAAGTTTGGATTTGCATCACTTGATACTTGAAAACTGAAATTAATAAGATATATTACGTGATTAATTAGATTTTTCTGAATACAGTTTTTACACTAACGATAATAATTTGAAATAAGTTGAAACAGGTTTCAACTATTTGAATGGAAAAATAATTATAGAAAATACCCTTTTGTGTTGGAGGCATCCAAAATTAAAGTTTTTAGTAGGTTTTCTGTCCTGAAGTCTGCTTTCTTTTTTTTCCTATGCACTTACTATGCTACTGATGTTATCAAATAGCAGGTTAAAATAGAATCTGTTAATTATGAATCCAATAGCTATTCTACGTAAGAAAAATTGCTGTTGTAAAATACTCTAATCTTTAAATGTAGGCATATTTTTGTTTACATCTTACTCATTAATGGTATAAGTACCATTAATCGTTTTAAGAAAACACTTAGATGTTTATAAAAATTGAAAACATCACAGATTGTATTTGAACTAGTTAGTGAAGAGTAAGAAAAAACTGGCTGATTTAAATTGTTCCATTAGTTAAATTTAAAAACTCTTAATAAAGAAGCTTTCAGAAGTAGATTGAGACTTGATGGTATTCACATAAACTATCTCCTGTGACCTGAAAAAGACCCCCCAAAAGCAGTGGAAGGAATGAAAATATTTACTTGCCATGGTTGTAGTGTGCTGCTACTCCGATTTAGGTGGTGACACGCTGAAATTTTTATTGTCCAATAATCTGAAGAAGTTTCCTGTTATTTCTGTAGTAAGGTAACTATTAATTGGTGGAATCTGCAAAGAGAGAACTTTTTAAGTGTACTGTATTTAGGAGCGTTTGTACAGCTGGGTGAAGTTTCCATGATTTGAAGTATTTCAATTTTAAAATATACTACTATTATAAGAAGGAAGACATGGCATTATTCCATGTTCTGAAATGATAATTTTCTTACTCAGTTTCAGAAGAAAAAACAAAATGATTAATTGTCATTGTGTTGTATGTTGAATTGGGAAATTGTGGGCATAAAGTTTAAATTTGTGTTTATCAAATGTGAACTATAGTAGTATAATGCTGCTTTGTATATACTGTAAGTGCTACAAATAGTCTCAGCACTGAAAATGTATCGATACCTCTCAAATGAATGCAACTTTTGACATAGGTGTTTTAATATGCCTCAGAAAGTATCTGAGTGTCTGAGAATTTGTTAATCTGTTTGGTAATGAAGACACTTCCTGTTTTTTTGTTGCATATTTTCATGTTTAAAATTTAATTTTTACATTTTTACTACTGTTAATTTAAGTAAAATTTGTTCTGTGGATAAAATGGGGTTGCCAGTGAAGAAAATTAAAAACAGCCTCATTCATGTAACTGCTTAAGTAAAAATACATTTTTGCTCTATGTTCATAAACGTTTAATGAAGCCGTTTGTACTTCTGTTTAAATATGAGTGATGTTCAGGCTTTATTTTTGTTTAATAGAGCCTTTTACCATTGATTAAATGAAGGAATGTATCTTTTTGAAGAGATTTATAGTCTGTAAATAAAAATTGGTTGTAACAATAAAGTTGGGTTCTGAGTGTATCCATAAATCTTGTTATATATACTTCAACTAATTGTTGTGGTTTTCCTTTTGTGGAAAAACAAGACTTTTCAAAGTTAGTGTAGAACTTTGTATATTTGAAGTGATTCTTTAATTTCTAATTAGTTATTTGGGTAATACAGTAATATTACTATATTAATATAGTAATATTAAGTTTTGAAGAAAGTTTATTTTGGAAAATATGTTGAGTGCAGAATATATAACTTATGAAAAAAATTCTGTTTGCCTAGTTTATTCTTCTAACTATTAAACTTTGTGTCTTCACTGTGTTTGGGGCTGGAAATGAGTGAATCAAGACACTGGGATTATAGTCTAGGCAGGGAGTATCCATTCAACTAGCTTTTATTAAGCTCTTTCTAATTATCAGTTAACGTGATAAGTGGTGGAGATACAAAGATTATCTCTACCTTCAGGTAATGTTTATCATAGGATCAATTCTGTATAACAAAAAATTGTTTTATAGAATGTTTTCTAATTTGGGTTTATGTGGTGTTTTCTAATGATTAGGTTGAGGTTATGTTTCTCTAGCTAAAATACTAGAAAAGTGATGTGTCCTTGTTAGGGTATTATATTTCAGACTCTTGTTAATTTTGATCAACTGGTCAAAGTATAATTCAGTGTCTTTACTGAATATTTTCCCCTTTGTAAATAATAAGCAATCTGCTGAGAGATACTTTAAGATCATGTATTTCTCTGCTTGTCAAACATCTCTCCCCCTCCCTTGAATTAGCAACACTTGACAATTGTCTAAACCAATCTTTATTATGATGGCTGCAAAACAGCCGTTTTTCAATTCTGCTACATGCTTCATGTCCATCTACCTATCTGTCCAATCTATTGATCATCTACATTTTAAGATGACTTTTAAGTATAGACTCAAGTTTCTATTCAGTGGATTATAATCTGTTACTGTATATATTAAAATTGAGATTTGGCTTGGGAAACTATCAAATCTGGTCCCTGTGTCATTTTTGTGCCCCAACAATTTTTGAGCACTTCCTTTCTAGTAAAATAAGATGTTCAGACTCATTTTGTACCGTCCCTTCCTGAGCCCTGGAGTCAGCTCTTTTCCCAAGGAGTCTGGTTCCTTTTATGGAAAATGATACTTAGAAACTTAGATCTGAGGACTACATATGCTCATTGCTTCTTGGATATCACTGATCCTAGACTGTTTGATATGGCAAAATGAAGAAAATACACAAAGAGGTTTTAGAAATTGTGAGTCCATACTGCCACTTCCCAATTTCTAATCGTACTTTACAGAGGTTTTCCTTTACTGTTTTGCATTTGTTTTTCCCTTCTTTTTGACTCTGATAATACAGATATGTACTTTTGTTAAGAACTGTAGAATTGGTGGGCCCTTTTCAGTGTATCATATGGGGATATGATAATATGTATATTACTAGCGATTCTAACCTTAAGTCACTTGATTAAAGTGGGTTTTGATAGGTTTCTCCCCATTTTCTTTTAATATCTTGTGAGAGGATACTTTGAAAATTATTATTATTATTATTTTTTTTTTTGGCTATTTTAGCACCCATTGGCAGATTTTGCCTGCAACAATTGTGATGTTTACCAAATGTTGATTTTCTATTGCCTGCTTTCCTTCTCGATTCATAAATTAGAATTTTACTGTAAGGAAGTGCTGTGCTGTACTTTCCCTATGTTTTTTCTATTGTTTATGTCAGGACAAAGGTATTTAATTCTATGGGTTATAATCCACGACAGTCATTTTGGTGCTCAATTTGTTCCTGTTTAGTGATTGAGAGCTGCTTCAAATTGGCTGCTATATCTTTGCATGCATCGTTTTTTGAGTTTTTCCTTTTCTTGCAAGATAAGACATTCCAGGCTAGACTTGTACCTTCTCTGCCTCAACAACCCTCAATTCAACTATTTCTTTAAGGAACCCTGACTTTCTCCCTCCCCTCCCCCTTCCCCTCCCCCCCTCCCCTGTGTCTAGTACCATGTCTGGCAAGCAGTATGTTTGTTCGTTTATTTATTTATTAAATGAATGAGTGAGTGAGTGAATGAGAATGAATAAATGAATGAACATGTCCCATCTCCCCTAAAACTGTTCATTTACACACTCATCCTTGAGTATACTAATTCTTAAAGACATTCCAGGTCCTTGGATCACAAGTTCTCCATATTGATTACTCTTAGGAAGCCACTTTAAATCTATGTTTAAAAACCCATCGAGTTTTCATTCTGCTTAAGTTATATTGTTTCGTGCTTAAAAAGAAATAGATTTACATAAGGGCTACCAGACAACAATCCCAGCAGAATCTGAGATATCAGAGTCGCCAAGCTCTATAAAAGGAAGCTGAGCTGCTAAAAGGACTAGGAATGAATCCGCCT